ATACTCACATGAAAAATGCTTATATTGAATGCAAAGTACAATAAATCTTACCAAGATACAAATTATCAAAGTTTCCATTAGAGTTTCATAAGACGTCCCGCGCAAAAATCGCGAGATTCCATCTTCGGGGAGCGGCGAGTTTGAGCTTTATGTAAACGAGCATTTCGTTTTACTATAGATATATGATATATATGTGCATTCTCGCGGGAGCACAACGTGATGCAAGACGCACAATAAGCCTTTTTGCCATTATGTGGCTTGCGTATTACAACGGTACCGTTCTGCATGAAAGCGCGTGGTTATCGTAAATGGTTGCGCTTGCCGTTTTGTTTAAGTCCCCTGACCGACGATGCGACCGAGAAGCGGGCGAAAGGAACGTGCGCGCGAGCATCTCACCATACATCAGCATCCCACCGCTGTTACGTGAGAATGCAACGCGCGTACCTACTGACCGGCTTCACGTAACGTATCGCGGCAGGCACGGATTCGCTCTCGCGTCAGTCTCGAAACATAAACCTTCAAACAAAAAATTAGCTCCATAAAAATCATTCAAAAATTATCATTTTTATCTTAAACTGTTGGAAAATTTGACTTAAATTTAACATACATATTAATTTAACATAATGTGGATATGTTAAATGATGACACTAATACTTTGTTAATATTTCAATACAAAATGAATGCGAACTTTATAGTAATTTGAAATAAATTTTGTGTAAAATCCACATATTTTTAATGATAAAATTAACTTGGAAAAATGTTATGTTGACGGCGTGTAGTCACTCTCACTCCTATTGTAGAATAAAATCAACATATTTTTCTATTAATTTTAACAGATAAATTCTGTCACTAATAATACGGATATCTGTTGTGTAAAATTAAAAATATGCGCATTGTATTATAATATTTTTATACTTTTTTTTCAATTGTTTTAATAATTTAATTTATTTCAATTAACACAATAGCAATATGTTAAATTAATACATAAATGTGTTAAATATTTAACACAAAAATTTTAACTGGTATATTTTTTAACAAGAAAACACTAATTTTCCAATAGTATCGATTATTTTATCGAGTAAAATAAGCATCACACATATATAATCCGATATAAAGTATTCGATAATAAATTAACAAGAAAAAATAATGTGACGCAAAAATATATTTAATATAAGTATAAATTATATAATAAGAACATTTTCTATTATTTACCTGGTGTGTATGGAAAAATATATATTAGATTTAAATATTTTTATAGAACACGCGTTATAAATGCGCTTGATGCCTGGTTTAAGCATCAAATATCTGTCATTAACATTAAAACCCAAGGGATAGTCTATGTATCTTGTATATCTGTTAGACTCTCCGCAATGCCCTGCATACGTACACACAGAAAAATATATACTATATACAAGTAAATATTACTTGTTTCAAGTATTTCATAAGTTTATATATCCGCAAATCTATCATAAGTTCATCATAAGTATCAAATTTATTCAAAATATATTCTGAATCCTAATAAATTTAATAAGAATATTAAAAATATTAAATTATATAATTGAAAGAAATACATAAAATTTTTCTGATCTAATAAATTTTCTTACATTAAATTAACCATATCTTCGATAAAATTATAATATTCTTCAAAAGAAAATATTTACTTTTTTTGAGTACATGATAATGAGTATTTCTAAAATTTGTGACAAGTCTATTTTAAGACTATTATTAAGAAAATATTCTTTGTTAAAGATAACTGTTACTTAAAAGAAGTAAAGTAAACTGAGTAATCATTTTACTTAGCAATAGAATAATATTTTTCTGTGTGTAATTACATCATTATTTTAAATGAATCGATTCACGTCATTTCAAAATAGATAAATAAGAATAACGTTCATTATAAAAGATTGAAACGTAGACGAAAACGTGTCAGTATTCCCTATAGTGATGACGATTAGGAATAACGAACAAGTTACAGCTGTCAAAAATAGACAACAATCGATTCATAACTAATAAATAGAAGTAACACATCAATTGTTAATATGTAGATTTCTATTTAATTAATTTTATTTTAATTAATTTTTATTTTTATTTTAGCTTTGATTTTTTCTTTATTTTTCGAAATTTTGCAACCTTTTCTCTCTCTCTCTCTCTCTATTTGCAAAATTTCGAAAAATAAAGAAAAAATCAAAGCTAAAATATAATTTTATAAAATAATAATATTTATATATAGTCCAGAAACTCTAAAAATAATCATTATCTAAAACATTTTACATTATCACTTTTTCGAAAAGAAATAGTCAAAAACAATTATTAAATCGCAGTATCAAAGTTAATGAAATCATTTCGTTTTAAAATCTCCGGTGACATAAATAAATAGTTCAGATAATAATTTAATCAAGTTTCCTATGAAAGTAAAGTCTGATCGACGTTAAGAGCGCGAACAAATGGAAATAACTTGTCCGTTTAAAAATGTGACACATACCTGTCACGAGGCTGATCATTTATAAATAGCACATATAGCGGTACCACACTCGCATATTAACATTCTTTTGTATCTCCTCACAATGTAGCGTAAAACGTAAACGTCTTGCGTCTCGAAGAGAATCTTTATTCGACGCCCACGTCCATGCCGGTAATGGGTTAAGCCATGGGCATGTGTATATTCCTTGGAATATCTAATCCTGTAAATGTGTAAATTACACGTCGAATTTGTTCAACGCTTGCGCAAATTTAATCGATCATTTTGCACCGCTCGAGAAATACAGAGATTGTAAATTGCGTAAGTGCCGCGAATTGAACTAATATCAACGATTTAGATACTTCGACTCGAATGCAAATAAGGAAATACAATCTCCTCGCTTTTTACAGATTAGATACCGGTAGATATCTGATGAGTAATTTTACATTTACAGTAAAAACTAAAACTTGGAACATTCTATAATCAGCGAGTAAATTGAATCGAAATTCTATACATAATCTAATATGTTGTGATAGTGTGACTCAAAATTGTGACAGTTTGGGCATCTGTGTAAGATTTTACATATGTAAAAGATTACTCATAAGATGAACAATATATATAACAACTCGTACAATATTAAATTAAATATTGCCAATAAAAAAATACAGTTCTCAATTTTTTAATCAATAGTTATGATGCAATATCTTAATACGATACGTTCTAAATGTGTGTAATTGTATTAGGCGTTACAACATTCCTGATGACTAGTCTACGTTTAGATGCCAAGGATTTTGGAAGAATATCGTAAAAAGTGATCGCATGCATCAATTTGCACATCACAACGTTAAAACTATCGCTGCGTTCTCGCCAGTACTTGGCGTTTTATGCGTGGACTTAGAGACGGCAATTCGCGTGGGATTAGAATGTCTATGGGACTCGATCGCATTTTACGTTAAAATGCGAGTGTGCGTACATTATGGTTCATTCAAAGCGTCATTTTTCGAAGAATAATTTACGCAAATTACGATCCCATATATTTTTGAACGTCTATTTGGCGAATTATTGTAATTAAAATAATGTAGAAAAGACAATATACACACATATACAATGACGCATCTCACACGGCTTATTCTCGATGCTGGAAATGCGATCATGTGTACATAATCCAAATCGTGTTCGCTATTTGATACCATAATCGGGTAGTATGACAATAATTGTGCGCAAAAATTAAAAAAATTGTCTCGTCGATAGAAGTCGCTAAAAATTGCAAACAAGTTATCGAATGTCATTAATTAAAGCAACATTATTTTATATAAAAAATTTTTCTTTTTATAAAAATAAAATATATATAATAATTATTTTTATAAAAAATATACATTCTAATTTTTTTGTAAGAAAGATATTAATTCGATACAGCAAGAATAATTTTTATAAAATAACATTATATATAATGCTACATATTTATGTAACATATCTTGATGCGTTGATCGGCGTCTCTTGACGCCTTGAACCAGCACTCGCATATTCACGAGAGTGCAAGGACCGTTCGGACGCAGTTGCAACCGCACGTTTACTAGGCAGGGACACTCCGATCTGATGCAAATGCGCTCTCGACACCCGACGGGATCTGCTAGGCGTGTAGGCGAGAGAGACGTCTAGCCTCTTTTGCAGGACCACTCTGAGCAGCTAAGAGTAGTGTCGCGTCGGTGTCCTCATATCCATAGGCGCCGCGAGCTCCTCTTTCCAGTCTTATTTAAAGAGTCCGATAATATTAAATAAAAAGATTACAATATAAACCGATCATGTTTTTGGCTCATGATTATTAGATTATTTATCTAGTTAAATAAATTCTATAACTTTCTTTTTTTGTTCCGCTTTTATATTATTAATATATAATATACATATATACAAATCATTCATCGATAAAAAATAAGTATATTCCTTGATCTAAATGTCTACACTGTATTTTTAAACAATAAGATACGCGCGATATATTTTATTTTAATTTAAAAATTTTTTTGCATACATATAATTTATATCTAAAATATATTTAAATAGAATTATACATATACAACATATATCATATATTGACACATATATCAAATCTTAATTTATGTTTACTGAATTAAGTAGTTGGATAAATTATACAGAAACAAATATTTTTCTGGATAAAATCTTCAACCACTTAACCAATTAATAAAAATATGATTTTGATTGAAATAGTAGCCATGATGAAATTATACATGTATTGAATCTATTTCTATAAACTTTTATCGCGATATCTTTAATCAAGAATTTGTTCAAAACTTACACGATTTTAATTAACTTTATAAAGTTACATCGGGAAGCATTTCGCAAATCAAGAGTAAATTCCAAGCGTTTTCAAATTTTATCAAACGTACGATCCTTTCTCATGTATATTTTTCGGTCTACCCTATATATTCCGCGGGAGTCGCTTGCAACTTTCCATATAGAGAAGTTTCAAAGCTACGCTTCAGTAGTGGGATAAACAGGGACGCCTACACACGCGTACGATTCTTTGAACAGAAGTCGATAATATATACACGAAAAAAAAAAATTATTTGAAAGTTTAATATTGGAATATATGTCATGATTTCATATAAAGTAGTTGATTCTACAATATAAAAAATAAAGTGAAAAATATACGTGTCAAAATATTATATAATCTTATAATTATTATTATGCATTGTTATCAAACGACACGGTAGCGTCGCGACGCCAAGTACATAAAAATACTGGCTTGTCAATAGTTTTGCCTATGTTATGTATTCTTGTACCAGCTTTGGTAGCATCACACACACAAAAGTGAGATACTAATCGCAGTATAATTAGACTTAAATATACATCATGAATATGTGGATCAATATAAAATAATAACATAACAATCAATTTCTCCAATATATATATATACATATTTACATATACACGTCAAATTCACCATTTTATTACGTTACATCAAATCTATTATCCTTCGGACATATCTAGCAAGGCATTTAAAGGCGTCGGTATCCAATTTGTACCATTATGACAAACAAACAACAAATTACCGTCGATATACGCCTGAATGTTGCCCACTTTGTATACTTGCTTGCCTTCTTTATATCTATTCGGTATTTTCATAAATAATATACCCCTCTTTTCACATTTCTCTTGTACAATATCTTTGAAATTTTTCGAATTTTGTGCCATTGTTTGCCCTGCCTCTACGAATCTCTGTAAAAATGAAATACATAGAATATTTAATAATAATAGAGGGATTTAATTACATAATTTAATCACATAATAAGTATATATTTCGTACCTCCATCCTCGGCTGCGCGATTGATGGCATTGACGACATTGTCGGCTGAGTTCTCTCTAGACTCGTTAAATACGATATATGTTCCAGCACGCCAGGTTGATGATTTTGTGACGCGCTGGCGGCTCTCTCTATCATGTCCAATGCCTTGTTGAAATAGTCTGTAAATCATATTTTTGTCTCATGACATACATTAATGAAAAGCAATTGTGTGTGAGAAACAAAATGATTTAAGTTTGATATTACAATGCGTACACACATACAAAAGAAGAATTCAATACAAAAGAACAAGCAATACTAATTTACAAAAATTTACACCTCACGAATTATCTTAGTTTCCATGTATATTATAAAATATAAGTTAGTTACATGCACTCTAAATTATGTGACAGTTATTTCCGGTTTCGGAGTCTATATAAATATACGAAAATCAAAAAGATCCATGAGAAGTAAATTTTTTAGAGTGTTACATAATTGCCAACATACCTTTTATTACTGGTTCTGCCAGTAACTTATCGCTCAACATGCTTTTCCAACCCATAAACCAGTTTATAATTTGATCGTAATTCGGCGAATGATCGAGCCACAGTGCCAAAGTTTGCAACCACTTTGGAAAAAAGAATTTGTTGAGCAAGCCTGCCATGATATGAACAGGAATCAATTCCTTCCACTCGTACACCGAATTCCATGGATCCATATGTTGTTGATGTGGATATATGACAAATTGTGTTAAGGCTGTTCGCAATTTTGGTACAATGTTCTTGACTAAAAATGCTTCCATATCTCCCTTGGTAAATACTTCTGCCCAAGGTTGCAGCATTAATCTAGCAGATCTATCCGATGGATGCCAACTTCCTAATGCAGATCCAAGCTTTCTGCGTATTATTGGATAAATTGAATTATCCAAACGATTTCCTAATTTACATAAGAAGCAATTATTATTTACCACTATAATTGTATAAACAAATATGAATCATGTATACTTACGTAATAATGGCAACCAAGGATGAATCCATGTATGGATGGGTACAGTATCTGTAAGAGGATTCCATTCCTCCACCTCCAATGTCAATTTTGGCAAAACTAATACATCTAAAATATTTTCTAAGATCCAGTTGGGCAATAATGGCATCCAATGTTCTATTAGTTCAATCAGAGGATCAGGCTGTCTACACGTCCACTGCCTAATTCATTTATGAATAAAAGATATTAAAAAAGAGATACATGAAAAGAATCATTTGTTTGTATATTTAAATGCACAGAATGATCCAAAAAAAAAATCGAGAACTTTAGGGATATATATTCACAAAGTTGCCCTACAATCTTTGCTTCTTTGTAGAGCAAGCTTTGTTTTCGTGACAAAATTTTTTTTCCAGTTTTCTATACCAATGTGTTCAGAATGTTCCAAAACGTCAAAAAATCACATGCGTATATGTGTGTGCGTATGTACAGAATATTTGTACACTAACTGTGCTCTAACTTTCGCAAATTTTGAGATATCAGATTAAATTTTTTTCAATGAATAAAGTATCATTAAAAAATGGTTGGTATTGAATTTGGCGAGGATCGGTGAAAGGATACATTTTTTATAAAATCTTTAATTTTTTGAGAAATATCTGCATGTTCTAACTTCCGCAAATTTTGAGATATTGAGCTAAATTTTTTTACATGATAAAGCTTCCTCTATGAAGAAGCCAAAATTAAAAAACCCATTTACTTTGAAAAGGAGCTTTGTAAGCAAAATAAAATAATGAGGAAGCAATGTGCAAGTTTCTAATTTGCACAATTTTCATCTTGTTTTCTTTTATATTACCATGTAATTAAAAAGTTTATTATGAAAATAACTCACTGTATGGCTCCTCTAATTGATGGCATCCATGCATTCCACACTAATTGATCGTATGGGTGCATAGTTCGTGTTTGAAGTGTAGTATTACTAGTTCCATTCTCCAAAATACACTTCCACTGTTCAAATAATTTGATCGGTTGTTTTGGTTGCAAGAGTGGATTCCAACTAAGCAAGCAATCTTTTATTTTTGGCGCTACAAAACTACTAGCCAATTCACCAAGTTCGTACATTTTATACTCCTCATAATAATTGTCTTGCAAATTTTTAAAAGCTTCCGCAGTTTCTTGCAGGGATAATTCATTCGTTTCATTTATTAACTTGTTCACAATCACGACCACATTATCTAAGATATCAATTGATTGGCCATGTTGATCCACGACTTTCGATAAATTCTTCTTTTCCGCTTCTAAAGCGATTACTCTGTCATGTAAATGCCTCATTCGTCGATCGTTTTGTATAATATCTTGCTCGCACATATCCACGAGTAAACTTAAATTATGCTGCAATTCAGGCAGAGCAAAATTCACCTTAGATTTTTTATCAGATGTAGTTACAGTCTCATCGGGACATTGCTGACCACCAGCTATTGCGTGATACCCACTAAGAATTCTCTGTTCTGGCCCTGTCATGTCGATAACTTTAACTCTGCTTATATCACTAGATACTGGGAGCTTTCTATTTGGTTTCAACTTTCCATCTTCCAAAACTTGATCCACACTTCTATAACAGTATCTAACTTTTTTTTTATTGCTATTATCGCCCTTTCGCCATTGAGATACTTTGGACTTGAGTTCTTTTGTTTCTTCTCCATCATCATCTTTCTTTTTTTCTGGAATTTTTGGTACCTTTTCTGGACCGTATGCACCAATTGCACCTCTTCCCTTCCTGAGATGTGCTTCCACCGGGGTGCTTATTCCTTGTAGCTGTTTACCCAAACCTTTGCCAGGTTCAAATCCCATCTAAATAAAAAAATATCTTTTTTATTACTATACTGTTTTGCTGGAATTTATATAATAGATTATTGTTTTAAAAATACCTGTAATAACAATTTAGCACCAATACCCTTTGTATGTACTTCCCAACTACCCATTCCACCTTTTATTAATAATGGATTTACTTGATTGCGTTTTTTACGCAAACCTGCGATATCGCTGTCTAACTTCAAAGAGAAAGATGGACGTGATTTCGAATTATTTGGTCTTTCATCTTCTGAACTAAATAAGAAATAAAATATAAATTTTTATTAATAAAGAAAAATATTTATACTAGAAGCGCTATTATGCATTAAATCTTACCTAGAATCACTGTAATGCTTTGTTTGAGATTCCCGTGTCTCTTCTTCATCTTCCTGATCATCATTATCTTCCTTATCTTTTGGTTTCCCTGCTTGTTGGATACCACCAGCAACAAAATTGACCGGCGCTGTATAATTTTTAGGACCCTTGTTGAAAGTCTTGAAAGATGGTCTGGCAGATAATTCATCTTCATCGCTGTCATCTGCCCATATTCCTATGTTCAAATCGGAGAAGAGTGTTACTACAAATTATATATGGATATATATTAAATATATAATTGTCACACACTGTCATTAAACCTCAATTCTCGGTCTATTTAATTCTCCCTTTTAATAAAGTAACTAATAATATTTTTGACATATATGTATATCATACCTAGCATTTGTTGCTTCTTCGAAAGCTTGCGTCGGGGACGACCAATGTTAAATTCGTTGTCTAAATCATAATCGGTAATTTCAAAGCTTTCTACTTCGTCTTCAGACATCTTATTTTATATGATTATTTTGTTACACAATATACTGTTTTATTTTTTTATGTAATAATATAACTCTCTCTCTCTCTCTTTCTTCAAAAAGACTATAACACTGACACAATCCTCTACCAAGATCTGACCAGATCGTATTATTAAAGAACGCTAAAGAAAATCGAAGTTCTAACCATTCTAACCAATTCTAACCAGAACTGCCAGATTGCAGACTCCAAACTCCAAACATTTCTACGTCCAAACATGAACTACATAGCCAATCCACAAAACTTCTCAGTGGGTAACACGATATGTTACCCACTGGTATCTGATTCTGTTCCGTGCTATGTCAACAGAATATCCGTGACAGAAATCTGTAAGGCCTCGGCGCCTATGGCGCCCCTAAACTTCCACACCCGTGTCTCGGCCCCACCGTGGGTCCGCCCCACCACGCGCCGACTCGCGTATTAATATTTTATTTCTATTCCTAATATTTTCTCTATTGTGCGCAGGGCCTAATACAAAGTCATATTCTTGGCAATAATTGTATTATACAGGGTGTCCCAGACTACCTGTACACCCCTTTTAAAATGAAAATAAATAGCTATCAAAAATCGCGAACATTTTTTAAGTAAATCGGGTATGCTCTATCGAATGGTGATATTTTAAACTTTTGATTCCGACCGGAAATACGCCATCCAGACCGGAAGTTGAATTTTTTGAGAGGAACATAGTACTTTTTATTACAGATTCGAATTGTACGTGAAAAAATAAGAAACTTTTGTATTAAACGTTTTTTCTGAAAGTGCCTCTGTCAACCTTAAAATTGACATTGAAAGTAACTGTCACAGTTGCTTTCATTTTTAGGTTGACAGAGGCACTTTCAGAAAAAACGTTTGATACAAAAGTTTCTTATTTTTTCACGTACAATTCGAATCTGTAATAAAAAGTACTATGTTCCCCTCAAAAAATTCAACTTCCGGTCCGGATGGCATGTTTCCGGTCGTAATCAAAAGTTGAAAATATCACCATTCGATAGAGCATACCCGATTTACTTAAAAAATGTTCGCGATTTTTGATAAAAGCCATTTATTTTCATTTTAAAAGGGGTGTACG